CGGGGGCGGGCGCTGGCGCTGGCGCTGGCGCGGGAGCCGGAGCGGGGCGGAAAGGGGGCGCGGGTCGCGGGGCAGGGCCGGGGGCGGGCGCGGGGGCGGCGCCGCGGCGACGGCTCAGCTCTCTCGGCGACTTGGCGCGGGCCGCGGGCTGGGGGCCTCCACTTGCTCTCGTCGTCTCTCGACTGTGGCGGCGTCTTTGGTGTTCGTCTCTGCGCGGCGTGCGCGGTTGCGACTGATGGTACTGAGGCCGTTGATATGGCTTGTAACTTCTTGGAACAGTGGGCTCGGGGCTCGAGCAGCACGGGCGACGCCGGGGGCTGGCCGCGCGTTCGTGCCGGTGGCGCAGCCGGCGCCCGCGCCCGCGCAGGTGCCGCCGGCAGCGCCCGCAGCCCCACCCCTGGCGCCCGCGCAGCTGCCGCAGCCTGCGGTGGTAGCGGTGCAGGCGAAGAAGGAGGAGGGCCTCGGCATCGCAGTGGTGCAGACTTTAGTGCCGGAGCAACCGAGCCAACCCAGTACCCCAAAGAGCGGAGTTGTTTCGCCCGCCACGCCTTTGAGTTCAGCTGTGCCTACGACGCCCACGTCGCAGACGCCGGCCGCGCCCCCTCCCGAACTGGTACCTGCCGGGGCGACGCCGCTCGCCCCTCTGCCTAGCCCTGACGCGAAGACCGTTGTGAAGCCGGGCGTGCTGCGATTTGGACCTCCTCCCGCCGACGAGTACCCGCTTTTCTGCGCGAGCAAACAGCCTCCTGCCCTCGGAGCGAGTAGTGCCCCGGTGTCGACGATTAGGGCCGTGAGCACTGCGAGCAGCCCCGGGCAGCCCTCGGGGCCGCAGCCCAGTCAAGCTCCTTCCCAACCTTCGGCGACGCAAATTCCTTCTGTGCCACCGCAGAACGTTCAGCCTCAAATGTTAGGGCCTCAGCCTCTGGCTCAGATACCTCCTGTGAACAAACCTCAGTTCAAGGTGAAATCCACTGCCTCTCTTATGCCGGACGACAAGAAAGATCGGAATAAAATTCAGGGGCATAAGAAGAAAAGTCGTAAGTCTCCAGCTGGAAGTCCTCATCCGCAGCCAGAACAGCCGTCCTTTGGAATGGATGCTTCTGGTAGAGATGATGTACAAAGTCCTGCTTATTCAGACATATCTGATGATGCTGCCCCTGTACTTGAATCTGAAGTTGGAGATGGTAAGAATAAAGGACAGACCGGAGAAAAGAAGGCAGAGGTGGGACAAGGTCCTTCACCGCACTCTATGCCCCACTATGGCATGTACCCCTTCTACGGTCAACCTCCGTATTTAGTTCCTTCTGTGCAACAGGATGGAAAGACAAAGGAAGCCCCAGTGGATAAATTAACTGACAATAAACCTGGGGAGAAGGACAAGAAAGATGGACCAACACCTGGAGAGTATCCACAAAAATTGTTGCAACAGCATTACTATCCTTACGGGTATGTCCCAGGCTATCCATACAACTTGGAACCCAGTTATCCAATGACTATGATGCCTGCTGATGACAAAGCTAAAGAAACAGTAGGAAAGGAAGATAAGAGTCCAAGTCCTGCTGAAAATGTGAAATCAGTACCTCTTGCTCCAAGTCCTATCCAGGTGCCCAACCCTAATAAGGTTAAGACTGAGCCTGGTGTAGGACTGAAAGAAAAACACCAAAATGAAAACCATCAAATATTGAAAGAAAGTATAGAGTTAAAGAATCAGATGAACCCGTATACTTATCAGAGGCCACCGCCTTCTCAACAACCTCCTCAAGCAACACCTCAGCAAGCTCAAGCATCTCCTCAACAGCCTCCACAAACTCAGACCCCACAGCAACAACAGCAACAGCAACAACAGCAGCAGCAACAGCAGCAGGAAGAACTGCGGAGGTACTACCTCTATCCAGACCAGCAAAGGAGGAAGGAAACCTCCAGTTCTGCAGACACAGTATCGAAACATACAAGTTCTACCAAGTCACTTGCCAGCCCTAGCCACAAACACAAAGAAAAACAGCCTGAAGAGAAAAAGGATGATAAAGTTAAGCAAGAAGGGGTGAAACCTACAATGGAAACCCAAGGACCGCCTCCTCCCCCCACATCATCTTATGCCTACATTCATCATGCAGGATACATGCAAGCTCCTCATTATGGAGCCTTGCCTTTTGACCCTGCTCACCCAATGTACCGTAGCATGTTGGTGCCAGGTCCATACGGTGCCAATCCGTACCTTCACCCCCAGTTGCCTAGGTATCCCCATGCCCCAGAGGACCTCTCAAGGCCACCTTCTGGACCCCCAAAGGCGTTGGATCTCTTGCAGCACCATGCCAGCCAGTACTACTCCTCCCATAAAATCCATGAGCTCCAGGAACGAGCCTTGAAGTCTCCCACACCGAAACCCGTGGCGACGAGTGCCTCTCCTTCAGGAGCACCACCCGGTGGCCCTCCGGTGGGCACACCCACAGGTACCGCTGGTCAGGGACCTCAGGGTCAGAGCCCTGCAACAGTTGGTGCCTCCACAGGTGCACAGTCTGCAGCAGTGGGCAAGCCCTCGGCTGCTGGTGACAGCAAGGAAGCCCGTTCTCCTCCTCCCCAACGTCATGTGCACACACATCATCACACGCATGTGGGCTTGGGGTACCCGATCCTGGCAGGCCAGTACCCGGCACCTTACGGAGGTAAGCCAATGGTGCGGCCCTGACAGTAGTGAGCGTAGGCTTGCTTCCCATGCAGACGGCCTGCTGGCCAAGCTTCAGGTTGACTGCAAAACACTTTGAACAAAGAGTGTCATTTGCGTGTTCTGAAGCCTGCTGTCAGCAGGTGGTCAGCATAGCTTGCCTTGAGGTCATGAGTAGCTAGTCGTTGCCATTATAGTGGCATATGAGATGTGAGGTACACCATATTGGTGATGCTTGGATACTTACTAACATACCTTCATTCCAGAGTCGCAAGTCATATTTTGTTACCAAAAGTATCATTGTTATATTGCTATATGTAGTGTTCTTGCAGTCGGTATGTAGAAAAGTCTGTGATATCTCCTGTGGCATTATCCAGTGGCAGAAGGCACCAATATTTAACTGGGTTTCCTAGGTTTAAGTTCTAACATGTGTGTGTGTGTGTGTTGTGAATGTAGCACCAGTAATAGTGCAAAGAGACATTCCTGAGACTGAACATTGCAAAAGAAGATTGCAATATGAATATTATTTGTTGATCAACTCTTAGGTTCTGCTTATGAAGGTTGAATTTGTGGCACCAGTATTTTAGTCTTCCATTAGTCTTAACAAGAGGTTTTTGTTGTTGGAACATTCACTGCCATATTACTAGCATTTCTGCAGCTATGTTATGTGTATAAATTTTGCTTTATATGAATTGTGTGTCAAGATACATTTGTTCATTAACTTAAACGTAATGAAAGTCGTGTGTGCAAGAAATCACCGCTGAAGATTTTTTTTTTTTTATTGTAATGGAGGAGTGCCTACTGAATTACTCGCAAGACTGTCCCACTCGGTACCTTGGCGCATGGATCATTTGTTGGTTGGATGGTTGTGAAAACTACCGTTAAAATTCATTTTTTTCAATGAATTGAAAAGGGGGTGAATTTCTGAAGAAGTAGGAATGTTCACGCATCTATTTAAAATGCAAGTTATTATTGCGTGCATGCAAAAAGAGCAAGCAATCCACGTAGGTCTCATTAGAACCCAGTGGTCGTGCTGCTGCCTAAGGTTGCTTGTCAACAACTGGAGTTACCTAGATGAAATTAAGAGGTCAGCAGCCACAAATGCCAGCACAGAGCTGCCCAAGGCAAGGCACACCCTGCAGTCTGCGTTGCTTGCAACTCCCTTAGGGAGCAGTTTGGTGGAATGCAGTCACAAGGTGGCGAAGGCATGTGTGCCTTGCCTGAGCGCTACCTGTGTCGAGCTAAGAGAATGTGCGAGCGAGCAGCCGCGCGGGGCAGTGCTAATGTGGCTGTTTCTTGGTTGCAGCGGCTGTGCTCGCGAGCCAACAGGCCGCCGCTGTTGCCGCGACGGTCATCAATCCGTACCCACCAAAGTGAAGTGCGCCTCGTGTATACGTGTGTGATGCGACAGAACTGAGGATAGCAGCGAGTGTATAGCACGAGTTGCCCCATGCACTGGCAAAGAATTGAAAGTCTCATTACACCCCTTTCAAACTTGAAGTTAGAGGGGGTAACAACAAGAAGATGCCTATGATGAGAAAACTGTGCGGAGGACTTGTTGCATGTTGGTGCAGAAGCCTGTTTATGTCAAGGCAAAAAACCATTCCAATGCATCCAGCACAAGGACAATTATCGAGGCCCAACCTGCGAACTGAAGAATCTGTTGGAGCTTTCACAGACTGGGTGAATGTTGCAATCGATTGTATAATCGTATTAAATCCTATTAATTTCTGTGTATATAGTGTAAAGAAATGACATAACTGTCTTTGGGAAAGTCATAGTTTGTGTAGAAGCAACAAGGGAAAATTTAAAACTCCATGTGTATTTTTAATGTTTTTTCAATTACTAGAAAAAGTGAGAGAATGTTTTATTATTTTATTATTACGTAGAAATAGCATTATTTCTCTTTTTGCGAGGTACATTTCATTTGGTTGATATGGAATTTTGCCATTCCAGTTTTAGTGGAATGTGATGTACAGTACACAGAAGTATATTATAGGATTCTATAGCTGTACCTTATATTTGCTTAGAAGAATAAGATGAATAATGCAGGATGTATTTGTTTTCACTCTTTGGCCAGCCTTGTAAGTGGTCGTGACAAATAGCTTATTTCTTTTTTGATAAAGGACAAGTGGCCTTTAGTGGGTAAGTCTTGTCAGGAGTTATTTTTATTGCATATTTGTAATTAAATATTCAAAAGTTGGAAGTTGCTTCAATTCAGTGAAGGGCATATCTTTTCTTCAGTACTTTCTGTCCTGTTACCTGGAACAAGTTTATTTACAGATGACGATTGCAGTACAGATGGCTGGTTTATAATGAGGTCATGCTATATAATTCAGAACAGGATTGTTACTGAAAGGTAACTTGTCCTAGTCTAACAATATTTGTCGCTAAACCTACAGCTCCAAAATGGTTCTTAATTTGAAATCAAATTGTTTTACACACATACTAATATTTTTACGGAAGGAAAGGGTATTTATTTTAACTTGTATTATTTCCCCTTTTATGGGTGTAGTGGGGTTCAATGATAATCTCCCAGAAATTGAAGCATCTCTCTTCGTGAAAATACAGATTTGTTGATTTTTTTTTCCTATGCATCTGAGAAATCTAAAAATATGTGTTGAGACTACACATTGAATAAACAGTAGGTGACATTTATACCCTCACCTAATGCCATCTCAACTTCTTCTGATTAAGCCCTTTGATGGGAATGAACAAGGGAGCACAAAAAGAGAATGAAAAAAGTAGTAATTCTTTCTCCCACTTTTGTTATATAAGAAATTGTTGTATAAAGTTATATAAAAAATACCTTGAGAGGTACTTTCATTTAACTGGGGAAAGAGCATACATTTTTACTATTATGCAAAATAAATTTAGCAATGTTTTTCTATGAATGTCTTACATCCTCTGAGCATTACTTGAATGGTTAATGAAAGGGAATAATTCCTGTAGAAAACTTTTCTTTAATGACAAAAAACTTGCATTTTTGCATGTTTAGCAAATAACAATACCCATAAGTGATTAGTCACTTTGCTAGTCTTAAAATGGAATGTAGTTTTGTAATCAGGTGGAATGCGAGGGAAGTAATCAATTTTAATTTATGGATGTGTAAAATAATGCAATTAGAACTTGTTCATAATATCTTAATCGTTGGCAGAAAACGGCAACTTTTCATTATTTTTAATATTTTGACAGCACGGGACAAAATATTACTACAATTGTTCTGGCAATCTTCAGAGATAAAGTTAAGTACATTATTTATTGGAAAGAACTGAAAGGAAAGTTTTGCTAATAAGGTGTTTAGTAAAATCTACAAGTAATTTAGAGCAAAGAGTGGGTTCACTTCCAAAGTATGTTGTAAGTGGGGGTGATCAAGCTTTCAAACTTCATGTAGAAAATGAGATTATGCAAATATGTTGATGTGATAAGAGGATTTATGCCAGGATCTAAAACACCAATAATTGGTTATTCACACAATGAATGTTCGAGTGTTATGTTTGAGCTTTCTCATGAGAATGAATTGGAATACTGAGGAAATTATATATATCCACGAGTATGAAATTGTAAATTTGATCAGTGCCTCTTTTACAACAAATTAGGATCTGGTATATAATTTATTATTGGGCCTCTCGTGTCATTTAATTTCATGAAAATTTCAAAATTTTGGAGAATTTGTAGTATTGTAGTTCTCTAGTGATTTGGGCTATTGTATTTGCATTATTGATTATATACTTACATTTGTGTTTGCACGCACACTACTTTAATTTATGAATTTTGATGAACGCAAATTCTCAAAAATGGTAAGTTACAAATGCAAAGTATTTAACAAAACCTACCTCTTAAATGTTTCTGTATTGACAGATTACTTGCAGTTGTATGCAGAGCTTAAAATGATATGACAGGATTAGGAAGATATGAAAGATCCCAAAGAAATGCAAAATAGGGAGACATTACAAATACTATTATTGCTAGTCTGCTTTTGTTCTAGCAGGTAGAAATTTAGTCCAAAGTTTTCCTTTTGCAACAGGAAGTAAAAAAAAAAAAATAATTGCTGGAAATCACCCTGTGCAAGTTTAACAAAAAATTGAATTTTGTTTTATTTATCAGCTCTTGGTTTAGGGCTTGGTGGAAAACATCTTTGAAGCTCCCTTTACAAATTCACAACTCTCTTATCAGTCATAGTGGAAGCCATAAGCAGGCATCATTGTGCAGAAAAGTTGGCTGGTGACATTCAATTGTCAAAGGCACATTTTATAATATTCAATTATCTGTGGAATACTTCAGGTACGCAGCTCTGACCCTTGTCATATCTTTTTAAGGTTACTTTTTTCATTTACCAGTAATTTTTGCTGTAGTTAAGCATAAAAACACCATATCATAGTCAATAAAATAGGAAGGAATAAATTTTTGGGCAAAAGGGAGTGTATTAGCATGTGGCGAATTGAAGTTAAATGACAACGGGAACAATGAGCTGCCCCTCTTCATGCAATAATTCACCCATACAAAAATAATGTTTATTCTTTGCTAGGCATACATTTGCAGTAGCCATAAGCATTCTCTTTAAGTACAGACTTGAAAATTACAAAATTCTAAAATCATAGTAGAAAGTTATTTTACATAAAGAATAATGGGAAATCTCTAGTACTCCAGATTGAAGGTCAATGTTTTTGGACAGAACATAATAAAGATTGAAAATAAAGAGAGTTTGAAGTTATGGCATTGCTGTTAATTCATAAAGATATCAATGAGTATAGGTAGGAGGAATGGGACAAAGGGTGGTAATTAATCTTGGATCAGCACTGGTACATTTCATGACAGGTGCTTTCAACAGAATCCATTGTTTTATTCATCCACATAACCACATGTATGTGTACATATAGATACAAGTACTGCTCTTTTATCACATGCACAGCAGTGATAGAAGATCAGCACATGTACTGAACATCTATTAGATAAACAGCACAAGACCGGGAATTAGAATATGCAACAAGTATATAACTGAACACAAGTTAGTCTACTCATGCTATCGTAATTGAAAAATCAGACAGAGCTTGTGTGACTAACAGATGGGCAGATGGCAACTATACAGACTTCTTGCTCAGGTAAGTCTCAGGGAAGACTACTGATGAACAATATAACAATTTGAACACATCTGCCTTGATAAACCAAGAGGAGAAAGTTTCTGCATATATACATATGCATGTAATTTAGTTAGTACAATGTCATTTTGTGGCAGTCACACTAGCATTAAAACCAAAACATGTTAACAGTCTGTGGAGCCAGCCATACATTTTTGGGGGGCAATAAATGTCAGAAAACACACAACATAACTATTCAAGTCCAACAGAATCACTGGCAGGAGCATTCTTCCACAGAACCAAGCTTCAACAGTTGCCCAGTTTGGATGCAGAATGACCTTGCAGTCACTAAGCACTGATTGAAAACAAGAAAACTCAAGCTTGGGGGTTTCCATGTTAAAACCAATTTGTTAGATACCAGCACAATGGCCCAACCCTCGCTCCACCAAGAGTATAAGAAACAATGTCCAACGTTCACAGTTAATCAGATGGTGCATTTCTTGGCATCCACACGTAACTGGTCACTACATGAAGTCATCAAAATCATCATATTCATTGTAATAGTCATTGACCAAAGTCTGCAAAAAGAAAAATGTGTAGGTGAGAACAAGAGCATTTGCATTATTACCAGGTCTATTTTATTACACTGAAATACTTACAGCAGAGGTCACATTTTCTCCTTCCACTCGCAACTTAACTTTTCCTTTGCCTTTATTCTTCTTTGCTTTGTCACCTTTTTCTAATTTACTTTTTTCTAGGAACATATTTTCAACTGTTGTTTTAAGTTTCTTTAAATCATTAGATGTCACTAGAAATAAGCACAAGATATTTAAGCTATATAGAATTAATAGAAGCATTTACACCAAAAAGAGATAGAGAAAAATAATGTTTAAATTTAAACTAAAACCTTGTACAGAACAGGCCGAGCATTATGGTGACCAAATGAACAAACAGACTTAGCCCAACTTCGATCACTACCTTATACTATTACTATTTTCAAGTCCCTTTTTGAACTCTCTCGTTTCATCTGGATTGAATATAAATTAGTAAGACAATTCTGCATATGCATGAAGATATTTTTTTAAAAAATCGCATAGTATTAGTAATTAAGACTATTATTAAAGGAAGACTAATTCATTGTGTGAGTCTCAAATTTTTTTTTTAATTTCAATTTTAAAAAAGTAATTTTTATGATTCGTCAACAATATAGTACAGTTGTATGTTTCTTGACTGACTACAAAAAAAGGCTAAACACTATGCATTAAACGTTGGAGCTTTTCCAAATCTGAGTCAAAAATTTGACCAAAGTTTTTTTTAGTTACTGTGAAATGATTACTTCTACAAAAACATTCAAATGGTAATTGGTTGGCTCAATTTACTCTACGATGGTGAAAGAAACAGTCCAGAGAACAGATTCCGTAGAATAAAATCACTATAATGAAATCTTTTGGTTTGGATTTCACATAGTTTTTATTTAGTGTTGTCTTTCATTTTCTCTCTTCTTGACAAATAAATAAACTCTACTACAGAGTAAATGTGGCAATACTTACGGCTCACACATATATTCCGAATAAGTTCCTCTGCAAATAAGGGGAAATGTGTTGACTTGTTATAAAGGTTAATCTTTTTGGAAAGAGCTTTCTGGAGTTCTTCAAATTCTTCCTCTGTTGTGGGATTCATTCCATCAATTCCAGTTCCACTACTTTCTGCGGTACCTATAAAACAATGTTTACTTATAAATCTCCTTCGTAAATAAAGGTAAATTTTGCTCCTAAAAGTTATCAATTTACATTCTCAGATATTTAGTAATTTTGAAGGCCAAAAATACTCAGTATGATCAAATACTATTATCACACAATGAACAATTGTTAAGGGGGAAAAATTCATATAGAAAGAGATGTTAAACGGCTTGCTTGTAGCTATTTTGCTCCAGCTTCATTTCCACACTATCAAATTGGAGCAAGCTATATTTCATTAGCAAAGAATACAACACATTACATATGAATCAAAGACTCAAAAGCCCAAAGGATCAAATACCGTGATATTTTACTGTATAATCAAATGAGTAAAGCTAGAAATATATATTAGTATTTTGTTAACTGAAATGCTGCTAGCCAGTTGTTATTCCAAACTTTAGACATTTACACAGATTTAAGTAATTTACGTTACCAGGGTTTCATAATCGGACATTTCATTCCAGTTTTGTCTTGTTGCTCCCTTTACTCAACATAAAATAGAATTACAGTTGACCTAACATTCAATTTAAAAAATTCATATATACTTTCAATAGGCAATAGGCCAATAAGCATTTTCTTCCTCATTCATTACATAACGTGCAAAATTCGATCCAGCATCTCTTGTAGCAAATACACTACAGCAACAAAAACATTACATTATTAAAATACTGCTTACACTGGAGGTTATTTTAAAGGACTATAATTTTTTGAAAATTTCAAAATTGATTCAAACTTTCAGTAACTGTCAAAAACTGAGTAAAATGCTTTGAAATTGAAGTTTTTTTAATGGAAGATTTTGTATTCATGTTATTCTAGTTTTTCACTTCCTGACATCACTTACTAATTTGTGAATAGTTACGGTCTTCCATATTGACAATAAATGTGAATTTAGAATTAATATTCCCTCCATGAAACCAAAAATTTCTGATTCCAATTGTCATTGCGCTTTGGACTTTCAAGTTGTCTCCAACAGTCATGACTAGGGGGCTGATTTTGACTCCAAAAATGACCATTAACATGCTCTTTAAGTGTTTTAAAAATGCCCTTAAAAAAATTAAAAAGTTTATCAAAACCCCTTCAGATCAACCACTAAAGGTGTTGGAGATGTGACTGATGTAATAAAAGCTTCTTCTTTTTGTTCAAGTGAACTTTACTGCAAACAAAAATTTGTAAGCTTTCTTTAAAAGAAAATCTCTGCCTTCAGTTAATGCGAAATCAGCTTAACTGACAATGTCACCGATAGGCCTCACAGGAATCTGAAATTACTTATTTACAATAGATTACAAAGCAATTCTGTGGTAAAATCGATAAAATCAGGGAAAAATGCAAGTAAATTATGTAAATATTATGTATATGGTAAAAAAAAAAAATCATTAAAATCCACCCCTAGTCATGAATATATTGGAGCACAGCACATTATTTCAATCATTTAGACTACATTAAAGGAGGTTCTGTGGCATGATTTTGGAACATAAATTTGTACAAAACATTAAGAATTGCCCCATGACGTGAAAAAAGACAAAAATTCAAAAACATTACCGGTTCCTTCCTACGATTACAAGTATGAATATAAATATTTTTTTCTTAATTAAATGTGTTCAACAAAAACAGATCTTTAAATAATGTCATGTGCAATGTTTTGAAAATACAAGTTTTATTTATTTATTTTTTGGGGAATTTTATGTCAAACATTACCAATTTTTATTTTCTTTCAACCAATTTTTCTTAAAATATGGCACAATATTTTTTAATGATTTTACTCCTTTGATAGCCTAAAGGATACTTAAGAGAATGGTCCAAGGTTCACATTCATATAAATGCCCAACTTTTCAAAAATTAAAAAAAATTCTGCTACTATCTCTAACCATTTAAAACTAACAAAGAAAAAATTTGGAGTTGTTTTTGACAAAAAGTCTTTTGAGTATTTCCTAAAAAGTGCTATTTGGGGCTCTTTTTACGGAAAACTTTTGAATTTGAAGAAACTTCATAACAAATCATTTGCTCTCACAAATGCAAGAATGTGTAGGAAAACATTTTTTTCCCTATGTATTTTACCCTATTCTTACAAGAAATTTGTTTGAAATTTCTTAATTCTACTGACAATCATTAAGCAGCATCAAATTATTCAGCATTTATTGTAGCACAGTGTCTGATGTCATAAAATGTGGATTAAAAAATAGCCCAGAGTAAGAAATACCTTTCAGTACACTTGACCATTAGCTAGTCAGCAATATCATTTAAGTGATTCTTTAGGCTATTAACATTTACACATTCTTTTGTTTTAGATAATTTGATGGTACTTATTTCTAGAAACACTTAACCCGCCATTACTTGCACATATTTATTCTAACTTGATTACTCGCATGTTAGATTTTATCTAACAACTGTTTATGATGTATTTATTGTTTTGTTATGAATCAAATTTGTGTATTAATATTCTGAGATATCTGTAATTGAGTGCTATAACTTTTATAGATTTAATAATGCATAAAAATTACATGCATGCTCATAATTTTTGTTTATAATATGCACTGGAATCAAAATTAGTCAGGAAGTGAAGGCAAATCATAGAATACAATTAATGCAATAAACGATATAATTTCACCTCATTGAAAAATATAGGGAAATTTATGAACTAAAATAAGCTTCCTCAGAACTACATTCACTGTAAACAAAAAGTCTCTTAGGAGGGATTTGGAACAAATATTATGACAATGTTGTGTGAACCTGGTTTGCATCTTCAGACCAAAAGCACGTCTTTCCTCTCTTAGTTACTCCCCAACAACTTTTTTACTCTAAAGAGAAACCGGAACTAAGTAATAGAAATTACAGTGAAGGGATGGCAGACAAATGATATTCTTGCTAAGCCTATGGACCGTTCACCTATCTCTAATATTTAAGATATAAAAACCACAATCAAGTTGTTTTCTGATCTTAACACGAGTATTTAAAACACAAAAGAGAATGAATAAGTATCAGATGAGCGGATGTGATAAACATATTGAAATAATAAAGTGGTTGCTCACGTGTGAGAAAATATCTAACAGAACTTGCCACATTAATCAGCATGTCATATTGCTTCCCTTCGCAGAACTGACAAGAACGATGAATGGATGCAGAGTTGAAGCAGGAAAGCATTGCTCGAGCATTATCTCTGTCTGTTAAAAGATGTCAATACTATTTAAATAAAACGAGAATTGTTAGATTTTTCTAACAGTACAAGTTACGGCGGGTTAATGCAAATACCATCTTGTGGCAACAAATACTTCCATCTCCAATCACAGGTAATTGTATCTACATGTCAAAGAATTTTTGCTCTGCAGGACGCCTTGTGGAGGCACAGTGTTGCTACAGTGGCACACTGAGCTGGCTTCGAGCTACTGCTGTCATGAACACATCAACTTTTCTTCACCTGCAGTGGAAGGTAATGATACCGTACTTCGAACCATGTTGAAGGGTTAAACAAAACAAGTTTCATCCAATTTCAACCTTCTAAATGTCTAATGTTTCGTTATTCTTCTGAGTAACTGACACCTCGATGTACAATTTTCTTTTATTGTTTATCCATTGTCATAATAATAATAATAATAATAAGTGTCTGCTTATATTTGAGGTAAATCCAAGTGAATTATTTCTGAGAGAAAGCCTCGTTTTGAGAAAAAGGATATAAAAAGGAATGACAGGTAACATTTAATGAAAGAGAATACGACAGAAGCATCCTTTTCATAAAATCTCTGGCTAAATGATTAGATTTTTTAACAATTAATGACTTTCTAGTAACAGTCCTTTCATATACTAATTGTATAAATCATCAATTTTAATAATATTATTTCTGCATCTAGAGACGCTACTGATCCTAGTTGTTGGGCAACGCTTTACAATACATTTACGCATCTACATGCGTGAGAAAATTGATCTTTCTTTAGGGTAGTTTATAAATACTGTACACCCCTGATGCATTCACATCTACATTAATCACAATATGAAATTCAAACAAGTTATTTCTAATAAACTTACCAAATGTTTCCATGGCAACACGCAAATCTGCTTCCTCTTGTAACTGCTGTTGACGGAGTTTTTCAGCCTGGAGTTCTGCTGGTGTCATCTGCTCTCTTAATTTTGCTTTCCTTTCTAATTCTTCTTGCAATTTGCGCTGTTGTAAACACACACACATACACAAAAATTGAAGTACTTTATTTGCATCAAACCCATAATATATACAAAAAAAGCAAACCTACAGGGCAGATTGCAGCACTTCCATCCAGACAAATTTTAATTATTTTTCATCTTAGGTAATTTACATTATTGTTTGCATTGTTGGAAGTCATCTGCTTCCAGCAAACAGTTGACTCCAAAATGGCCAAGCTGTTGAGAACCACTGAGAACTACTATCTATGAGTTGAGACTATCAAAAGAACTTGCACCAAACATTTGGTGAACTAAATAATTTAGCACCAGTGATCAACTGTAAAATACATAGTTCCTAAGTACAATGGATTCAAGGTGTCTGGGATAGGATCCGCTAATCCATCAAGGAACAGTTATTAAGACACGTGTGACATTGACTGGAAGATTAGAAAAGGGCTTAGGCATTGATCCCCAAATAGAATCTGGTTGAGAAAGAACAAATACAAAGCTCAAGAAAGAAATTTGTGTTTGGGTCATGACGGAGGTGCTAGAACTGAGTAGAAATTGTGCCTTCAGGGATGTGATTTGTGTTTCAGCAGATTGATGCCTCACTGGCACACAGGAGTTATTTAACATAAAACTGTTTTTCCAAAAATGCTGACTTGTTTGCACCTTCCAAAGATGGTAACTTGCACCTTTTCTGTAATTGTTTGAAAGAATTACTAATAAGTTCAAAACCCCTTGCTTTCACCCACTGCTACTGAATCAACATTAGTTTCTTTGGCAGCACTGCAGAGCATTCAAGCGCTTCTGATCAAAGATGGGGAGATTTATTCTGGACGAGGGGATTCTTACAGAATAATTTCACTTGAAAAGAGGTCACGTCAGTGGTATGCAAGAGGATTTTGTTATTTTAGTTTTGGTAAATCAATTATAATAAAATAATTATAAAAAAATGTGATAACTGTCTGGATTTAAGTGCTGCACTATATAATAGACAAACAAAATACACTTGCAATATACGATTACTTTGGGACCAATACACAGATCTATAGCACGATACAATATTAAATGTTATACACCTTTAAAACTGACTGACAAATCGCTTTTTTTCAAACAGATGTTACACATTTTATTGCTTGGGAATACAGTGGTGTACGAAAAACTCGATAGGACAATTCCAACTCTACTTTCCATATTCTGCATACCTCTTTTTCCTCAATCTTTTCTGCTCTAATTTTTTTTGGTTTCTTCAACTGAGTTGCTTTTGGAGGCTCCTGTTTTTCAACATCTTTTTTTTCCTCCTCCTCTTCCTCATCCTCCCAGCTTTCCTGGAATGAAACAAATATAGACTCAGTCACAACTTTCTATTTATACAATATCTTGTAGAAATGACAACACAGAGATTAGATGAACTTCTTGATAAAGATTAAAAAAGAAAAAAAATCAAGACTACAAAATTCATGATAACTACGCAAATAAATAATTATATTCTCAATTCAAGAGTGGCACTCATCACAATTAAGCAACATGATACAGAGGTCATGCAAGTATCAATGATATGTACCAAGTAGTTAAATTATTATAACCTCAACCATGCCCAACCAACAAGTGCCCATATGGTTCAAATGAGGTTATATAGCATGCTCCATAAATTTACACAACCACCACTCAAGGAATCTTGTAAATCAGGATGAAAATTTTGATTATTAACTTCTAACTAGCTATTTAACATATACAATCCCAATTTTATCAAACAAGACCCAAAATATGGTATGAACCATGACAGCTGTTAAACCATTATTAGTTTTCTTATAGATACATCTTTACTTTTCCTAGTACTGTACAGCATTGCCAAATAAATTTCTAAAGCAGCTCTTTCTACGACATGATTCACTACGTATTTATTACAAATAGTAAGAAGTTTGATTAAACCATGCTGCCACGAACCTTCACTTCTTCTTCTTCATCCTCGCCTTCCCATTTATTCGCACCTACAGCTGCTGGAGTGGGTAACTCCTTGCCCTCTGCGTCTATAGAACATAAACACACATATAAAACCACTATATTAAAAATATTAATTCTAAATTAAATTATTGAATACCAACCCCACTCTTCATCCATGTTAGGATTTTCACGTGAACAAAAATGCTGCCTCGCCTCACACGTCGGGAACCTAACACCAGAGGGCTACAGTGTCGCGCGCGATGCAACTGATACAACACGAAGAAAAAATACTATTTATGTATATCCTCATACAACTATCATTCGTGTCAATCCGCAATAATGTAATGTACAGTATCAATCGAACACCAACTTCTTCCAACAGAAACACGATTCATCAGTCCGCAAGCCATCGCCCACTTTCATGCGAAATGACTCAGTCAATAAAGGAACACAAGACCAAAGAATATGTATAACCTTGCATATTTGTTTTCTAGTTCTTACTAAAGGAATAATTTGCTATAGAAAACGTAAATAATGCATAGAAATATTATTGAAATGTTTTGAGCGTGTTTATTTTCTAGTTGTAAGAGAGAACTTTCAATATTGTATTAATTTCCTTCAGCATAATTGATTTTGTGTGAAATGGACCATGAATGGACGAGGGATTGATGACGATTGTAACACATAACTACATACTTACCCTCAAAACAAATCGTAACTTAATTTTTCTGTCGCTCAAACAATGCAATGTTGGAAGAAAATATTCAATTTTTTATGTTGGCGCAACTGTAAGTCCTTACATTAACTATACCGCCCAATTCAAGTTTTGAGACTAGGAGGAAAAAAGGTATTTTGAATGAATGCAACTAAAACATCGTGGAAAGAAGGATAAAGGACTGCGGATAAAGGAATGCGGATAATTTATCGTTTGGAAAATATTGATATTCCAAAAACCTCACTCAGATGCAATGACATAAAAATACCGATTTCTTAATTCTGACATTTCTACGCCCCAAGTTCGATACGTTAGCATTCGAATATTGAGGTACGTGTATCATAACAGCGTCATAGGATGTGTCATGCGCGAATGGCGAATCTTCAAGGAATGTTAAGCGCCGCTCCTACGCGTCGGGGCGAAGTCGGACGGGGCGCGACCTACGGCGGCTGCGGGCGGCAGCGGGCGGCTGGCGCAAT